CAATTTGTAAATTGCTTCCGACAGAAAAAATTCAATACAAGCAACAACAACAACAGAGGCTGGAAACTAATAGTTACTTTCAATCATTCATCGTCCATTTCAATAAACAATTTCAATGGTCAGAAGGAGACAGGCGGATGGGCGATCAGACGAGCAGAACAGAAAGCACAATAGACAAGGCCTCTCTCCCCGACACCTCAATGAAAGAGCTTTGGACATGGGGAAAGATTTGATTTACCTCTTGCTAAGGCGCTCCCTTAAGCACTGGCCAAACGAAGGAGCAGCAGGTTTGCTGATTTAAGGGTTTTCCTTAGTGGAAGGTAGGGAAGAAGGAATCTATTGTGGTTCAGGAATATATTCCTCTTTCAAGTCGCAGAATCAACAGCTTCCTAATATGATCTCTATGTCTACAATGTCCTTTCGGTAAACCAATCGGTATCCTTACTACATCAGGCTCAAGGAGGTTTGGTATAGCAGCTACTCTCTCGTTCACCCAGTACTCAAGATCTTCTCTCATCATATATGTTTCTCTGTATGGTTGGGGCAGTGGAAGGCTCTTTGGGGCGTTGACTGGCCAAACAATCAGGCAACCATTTGGGTTTTATGCTTCCCTCCCCCCTCCTCCCACCAGTTCCAATTAGAAATTCTTACTTTACTTTGTTGCAAAATGGCAAATGGAAACACACTGTGAAGCGCCTTTCTGCCCCACTGCAACCTTGACATTTGATGGCACCGCCAAGCGCCGCCTCGGCCAAAAGGGAGAACGCCCATGCACAAAATATTAGAATATTATTTCGAGATACTATCGAAGCCCAATCAAAACGTGTTTGGCCAAATGTCAAGAGTTGAACCAGCCAAATGAGGCGATATATATTTGTATTTCGATATTACTCGTGTGCGAGGCAGGAAAGCGGCAAACAACAGACAATGGGCCGTGCTGGAACCAGTCAGCAGTCGATCCGATGCCAAGTATGCCAAATAAATTATACCACAAAATACGCAAAATCAAAACGAAAAAAAGCCGGAGAAAAAGATTCTAATTTATGGGGTGTGAGCGCGTCGAGAAGCGAGAGAATACTCTCTAGAGGGTACTGTCCAGATGGAGCTGCGGACTGTTTTAGAAATTGTTACTCACATAAGTATTACGGAATGACTCTATATTTGTAGCACATACCATTAAACGGTGCGATTTGACGGTGAGTAACTTTACATAAAATCTGATGAGCATTTAGCGCGGGAATCCATAGAAATATCTGTTTAGATAGATGGTTCGAGTAAGCCACATGAGTTTTCAGTCATTATATTTTTGGATTATATTTTTAAAATACGCTACCAATGTTTCCTGAAGTTGTTTGCTTTACGTTTGATTTATTGTTGAGCAAGGCACCAAAGCAAACTATTCGCCGTATTATAAATCAGAATAAAGCTGTCCCTGTGCTGCCACAGCAATTAATTTCCTCTGTCTCTAATCCAGGCAACACCTGTTGCCCACCAGTCCCTTCTTCCTTGGAACACTTGTCGCCAGATCTCTCCTGCAGTCTCCAGTCTAGAATATTTTTTCGTATGCTAAACAAAAGACTCAAGCAACGAACTCGCACTGGCATTTGGCTTGACTCGCTTCGTCTTCGTCTTTGGCTTTGGCTGGATAATTGTGGCATCAAAATTGCTTTTCATTTGCCTCAAAATGAAGCAATTGTTAAGCGGCATGTTGCCACCGAGTGCGAGGGGGCAATGCAGCAGCGGGGGGGGGGGGGGGGAGAGGCGTGCGTGTGTGTGTGTGAGTGAGTGCATATGCGGATGTGAAACTGCGCATGTGCGGCGCTTCTTTTGTTTTCTTTACTTATAATATATTTTCTTTTGCCACTTTCTGGGGCTGGCAGCTGCTTAACATGCCACACACGAGGAGGGGGACAGAGGGGTTCGTTGCAGGGGCTTGCCGAAGCCCGCAACTGCAACAGTAAAAATATGTAATTATGTTAGAAGCCAGGCAGCAGCTGTCTCTCTTCTCCATTGCCTCTCCGTCTTCTCTTTATCTATCTTGTGCTTCTTTTTGCATCGCACCTGCCTGGCCATCCCCTCTTTTATTCCTTTTCTTTATTGTTATGCTTTTTATTTGAATTTATTATGCAATCTCTGCCTGCTGCCTGCTGTTTGCTGTTTTTGCTCCTACATCGATTCCGCTTTGATGGATTTATGTCGAGTGCATTTGACAAATTATAAAGCCAGACATTTGCCTAATGTCGCCGCGTTGTTGGCCAATAAAGATTTAAGAGGCTGCCGAGGCAGGGGCCGAGACTTGTTTTGGCAATTTGTCAAATCTCCGACAACTTCGTGACATCGAAATTGAAACACACTCGAACATTGTCTGTGCGGATGCCACACGAACGGCTCTGATTGCCACATCAAGCCCAAATTAGCTGCCAATCTCATATCAGTTTCATTCGGTTTGATCTGCCCGAAAATCATTCAACCTCCTAACCTCCTCTAGCCGTCGATCGGTTTTTGAAATTTATGCGCTGCCTGAACTTGAATTGAAAATGATATACTATTAAAAATAAAAGGGGGAAGCAAACAATCAAACATCTTGGGCAATCCGAAGTCAACTATGATTTATTAGCTCAACCGGTTAACTGCCTCCCTTCTCCCACCCCCGCCCCCCGCCCCTCTTTCGGGCGGCCTGCTCTTCCCCTGTCCCCCACTCGCCGACTAGCGATGAGAATTGGGTCGAAATTAGCAACTCTTTAAGCCAATTTCGATGCGTTTTAATTGGATTTAAGATGGGGCAGATGCATGGGAATCTGGCTAAGAGATGACTGACTGGCAGCAGGAATAAAACCCAAGACCTTCAAGGGAATAATACCACAAAAAAGCCGTCTCGAAAGACATCTTTTGGGTGGAGATTACAATTATTTCTAAAACCTTTTAATGAAAAATCGTATTGTTCGATGATAAATATTCTTTGTGTTGTTTTGTGGCCTTGTAGCCCATCTTCAAATCGACACAAAAGTGAATCCCTTACATATCTTAAGGTCTATGCAGATGCCCCTGTGAAACCCAATTAAAACTTTGAAAAATATACAAAATCTTTAAGTGGAAATTCTTCAGTTGAAAATAATAGAAATGCATGGGAAAAAAACCCTTCCCATTGCAACAATTTACAGCCTTTTATGGCACTTTCCCTTGACATTGCTACAAATTTAAACAAAACAAAAAAAGAACTCCCCCTTCGAAAAGTGTAAATTGTGTGAAAAATTGCAAATGATTTTCTCACACACTCATATGAAGATGTTTATAATATTATAATTAATTATGATTTCTTGAATGCTGCCTCAAAAGCCTCAAAGTCAAAGCAAAGTTCAATGCCAAAACAAAAGCAAACAAAACAAAACGAAACGAAACGCAGATGGAGATGGAGATTGAAAAAAAAAAGATCCAACCAAAAAATGCCTTTTGTATGCAACTCCCAACTGATAAAACCTTAATTATATATACATAAAGCGCAACAGCCAACAATAGACAAAATACCCGCAGTAAAACGCGGCTCGAACCCAAAGATAATTCACACGGTGTAAATGGCATGAAAATGCGAGCATTGAAGCCAATAAACTCCATTGAGCGTCGGCTAAACCAATTTAATGAATGTAATTAAGATTTTCTTAACTCAAACTCCAACTGCGGCACTGACTGTGACTCTGACTGTGACTGTGACCCACTAAGATCTTTCAGAGCGGATCCATATCGCAATCAAAGTCCGACCTGCTGAACAAACCACAACTGAAGTTCAGCCAGTTTTTTCAATTGATTTCTGTTCTCCACCTAAGAGACAGTCGATTGCTGAGGAACTTCTGGCACGAGGCAATCCGTACACTAATGCAGATTCTAGCAGCGTTTGGAGTGCACTCCAGCTGCAGTTTAAGGGCAAAACGCGCTGCAGATTGGCATCAAACGATCCAATTATATTGCCAAAATAATTGCCATAATAAGGCCGAATGGCGAATACCAACAAAAAGAATACAAAAGTAAAAACAAGAGTCATTAAGCCGCAAAGATCAAGCGATTGGCAATTAAATGCTTATGTTTTAGAAATACTCTAACCGCAGAAAGAGTATCTCAGGGATTAAATATGGATATGACATTGGAGGGTTCTTAAATTCCCTCCTGGCACTTCATTTGCACAGCTTTCATTACAAGCTTCACATAAATAAAACTACTCTCTAATTCAAAGAAATAACCCATATATATGTTACAAAACTATGCAAATATTAAGCCCAATCGTAAACCCAAATAAAGAGAGCCCTACAAAGCCCACTTCATGGGTTATTCCAATTGAATCTCGAGATGCCAAGTTGCCAAGTGGAAGTTTCCCCTATGCTTTCAGGGGATATGCCTCTTGAAAGATCAAACCATAGTGTATTGATGCCTCATCATGCCTTCGCTTTTCATCACACTTTATTTACCCAACAATTACTCCAAAAAAGCTGCTGTTTTGTGAACTCATTTGCATATATATTTTTGCACAATACCAGCTCAAACAAAATAAGAGCCTTAAAAAATATATATATATATAACTATGTACTCAAAGTAGCCCAAAGCCGAGTTCATAAACAAATTGATTAGCGTCTTCGGTGTTGCAGCAAGAGCAAGAGCAGCAAACAACGGACCACGGACCACGGACAACGGACAATACAAATATGAATATTTTGATGGATTATGAATAAATAAGTTGAACAATTGATGGGAGCACGGTTTTTCGTTTTTGCACAGCCGGCGGCAGATCTTGTTGCCAGGCAAATGGTCCGATCTGCTGTCCAAAGGCAGAGCTTCATCCTCCAAAGAGTTCGCAGTTGTGTGCGATTTGCTGGGACATGACACTCCCCTTGTAGCTCTGATCTCTTCACACCTGCCACGTGCGCCTATCTGTTCCTCTGGTTTCTCTGGTCAAATACAAAATAAATCAATTAGCAGGCTGACTAATCCCGGTACCTCTTCTCTCCTTGCAGGTACATAACACCGGCAGCGGCGGCCACGGCAACGGCATCATCATCCGTCACGTCATCGACGGGCGGCGGCGGCGGCGGCACCAATCTGGCTGTCTATCCCACAGCCACCGCACAGGTATATCGATCCAACAACGGACTCGATGTCCTGGACTGTGCCGGACTGGAGCATCACGGCAATGGCGGGACAACAACCATGACAACGTCTGGCAGCTCCGGCACGGGCTTCTCCCAGCGCCTCAGGGAGCTGGCCGCCTCCGCGGGACTGCTCTCCCTGAAGCCGCGTCAGCCCCTGAAGCCGGTGATCAAGACACGCGGCTCCCCGGGTCCGGAGTTCCCCAAGAAGGTCACCTTCAGTGCCTTTGCCACAGTGCAGGTGGTATGAGAGCGGCCCGAGACACGGGACAGGGGACACTGTGGGTCTAGCGTGACATCTGTGCAGGCACAGAGCAAGGTAAGAATAAAATCATGCGTTTCTATATGGGAAATTCCAATTTTAATCATCCTTTCTTGTATGCTTTTTCGTTCCAGTTCCGTCTTGCACTTGTTAACCGTTATTTGTTGTTGTTGTTTTAATAATTGTTGCTGTTGTTAAATGTTTAGCCAAAACTATGGAAACTGGAGGAGGGAAGCGGAAACTGGATTTTGGAATTTGGAGGAATACAAATCCTGAAAATCTTCAAAACATAAGAAAGAAATTGTTGTGCCATGACTTTGGCTTGATAAAAATGACTATATAGAAAGGAGTTATATACCAATATATGTATGCCCCATAGCTGGAATAATACCATACCTCAGTTATCCCTAAAAAAAAAAACACACTCTCTGTCGCTATCATCTATCTACGAGTAACATCTAGATTTCATAAATCCACGAACTTTCCATTTTGGTAGACTGACTTTTAAAGAACCTTCCCTCATTGTTACTTTACCCTCACCAATTCATTTTCTCTCCCCCATAAAACAGTATTTTCTCATCTTCAAAACACTTTCCTCACACACGACCACACACCAAGAAAAACCAATTGAAAAATGTAAAATCTAAAGACTATGAATGCAGAAATTCTAAATATTTTCTATTCAACTGTAAATATGTATGAATTTTTTGCTCAAAACCGATTTAAACAGCAAATATAGTCATAAATATACATATGTATGGATGTATAATATGTAAGTCTGTTTTATGTATGTGTATATAAACCATGATTTTGCATCGATTATTGTACTTAGGGAATATAATGAAAAAAGGAACACAAATTTTGTAAGCGCAAAATGCTGTCTTTTGTATTTAATATATTAAATATTATTATTTAAGCTTAATATTATGCATCATGAATAAAATATAAATAAAAGCAGGCTAAAAGTTGTGTTTTTGAATGGCGGTTTTATTCCAGAAGAGAGCCTACGAGGTTCAAAAGGAAAACACCATTTCAAATTTGAAATGGCTGTTAAATTTAAAAGGCCAAAATGTCCCTTAACATCCTTATTAATTCCTCTATATCAGTATAACTATATCAGTGCCAGATTGTGAAAGAATACAATTTCTGACCGTTTTAATAACCAAAGGCATCGTTTAGTACCAAGTGTGCCACCATAGTCTAGGTGTGTGAAGAAAATAAGCTGCACGATGCGTACACGATGTTTGAAAATCTTAACCGCTCGCTTTGCACCTAACAGCTCCAGCTGTACGATTAACATGTGCGCCTAACAGCACGCTTTGTATTAGGAGTAATTTCAAATTTAGCGGTTAACTTTACGCTTTAAGAGCTGTTAAGTGCAAAAATATAATTGTTTGAACTTCATTTTAAAAGGTATATTTAAGATCAAATGTTATAGAAACTTCCATACGCAGGTTTAGTGAATTTTTTGCTCTCAAATCGTACTCTAAGAGTGAATATGCCGCAACTATTGGGGAATATTAAAACGATCTATCCGTGTACTGCCATGTTGGTCAGTTTAACGAACCCCAAGGAAAATATGTTCAATAATTGGATAAAATTGTGTGGGTAGGGCTAAATATATAGATAGTATTATCGGAACAAAAAAGAATTGGTCGTTTTTTGAATCGATTTGAATTCGCCGCTTTGGAGAGCATGGGAAATATTCGGTATTTTCCGGTATTTTAAAACATGAAAATTTCGTGGAAAAAAGAAGAAGAAGACGAATTCCATTTTCTTCAATCTATTAATTTAATTTTCAATTTTATATAAAAATCCAATAAATGCAAGTATTTCGAATCATGTATAGAATTGATTCATCAATCGTACAAAATTGAGTGGGCATGGCTAAATGTTCTATATAGATAGTATTATTCAACGGAACAAAGAATATGAGGAATTGGTCGTTTTTTTGAATCGAATTTGAATTCGCCGCAGTTCGCCGCAATTCGCTTTGGCAACAATGAGTCTCATTCCATACACAAATGTTGCGCATTCTATACACAAAAGTTGCGGCAACATTTACTTGAAAACCGTTTTTTGGTCAAAATAAAATACATAAAGGTAATTAAAAGAAGCAATCTTGTAGAAAATGCATTTATCTATGGAATAATGCTAAGTGGGCAAATCTATATAGCTTGAAATATAGGCAATACCCGATTCGCCGCAGTTTCGCTATTGCAACAATGAGTCCCATTCCATGCACAAATGTTGCTAACTCCATGCACACATACCCTGGGGGAAATGGATGTTATAGAACTGTGAATACGTTTGTCTTCCAAGGCTTAGTAGGTATCAGGATCGACATAAATATATACAAGATACTAATAATGTACATGAATATTTCTAAGGAATATCAATTTGAGAAAATTTCTTTATAAATCACGTTTCATCTTCATATAAAATTAACAAAATAGGGTATTCCAAGGCCTAAACGCATCACAGTGACTCTTTTTTTGTCGAACTTTTCCGTTCAAACCTCTTTTTACACAAAATCCAATAAAAGCAGGGATTAAAAACTATCCAATCGTGTAGAAAATTTATTCATCAATGGGATAAAATTATGTGGGCATTGCTGAAAGATTTAGTTTGCCAGCATTATTCAATGGAATATCAAAATTGAGCAATATGAACGAATTTCCCTTTTCGTTTGTTTTGATTAACCTATTTCGCTACTTGCTTTTTGCTTGACTTGTTTCGCTAAAACCGCTTTTTACGCAAAATGCAATAAAAACAAGTGTTTAAAATAAGCCAGTCAAGTTGAGAATAGTTTAATTATTCGGATAAAATTATGTGGGCGTGGCTAAATGTTCTATCGAGCCAGTAATATTCAACGGAATAAAGAAATTAAGCAATTGGAACGATACTCGTTTGTTTATGCTACTGTTGTATGAGCAAAAGTGCCTTGTGCGTCTGCCTACAGTGGCTTCGAATAACAGTAAATCCTGTCAGAGGGCACTCCCAAAAACAACCGCAGTTCCTCGGCTATTCCGTGCTTTCCACCTTCTTCGCATTTACAGTTAAAGTCGAGCCACAGAGTCTGCAGCGATGCCGAAACGACCAGCGGCGCCCTTTGGCGCAGTTGTGGCCCACTACTCCCTGCCTCAGCCACCAGAAGACGAATTGAAAAAGGAGGAAAAAGAACAGACCCTGGACGGCATCTGGACACCGGGTTCTTCAGGATTCTGGCGTCTGGTGCGATGGAAAGACGTGGGGAATGGGGCATGTTCTCGCGTCGGTCCGATGCGGAGGCTCATCTCATCGAGATCACCCGCGTGGATGGCAGCCGTCGTGCTTTGTGGAAGGGGGGTGGAGAAGCCGCGTTTCCTCGTCCTCGAGACGCGTCGCGGGTGCATGTACTTGAACAGAGTCGCCTCGGACTCCATAAGCAGCGCCACGCGGTTTCCCTGTATCAGGACTACGTGTACTGGAGCGACTGGAGCACCGGGGACTTTGATCAAGACTGGCCAGAGCCGCAGCCTCGCTAAGGACGTGGCCTGCATCCCTCCCAGCTACGACAGACTGCCCGAATTAGCTGCTGCCGGTGTCCGGCAAGATTATCCGTGCCCAGGTGGAGCTCTCTCTCCCTATTCAGCTGTGTTCTAAAACGTTGCCTCTTATAGCTTCCTGGGCGAACTCGCCGAAGCCTCGAAGCGTCTGCTCTTCTGGACAGATATCAGCAGCCATCAGGCCATCATTCGGGCCCGAGTCGATGGCAATGAGCATGTGGACCTGGAAGAAGTCACGACTCTGGCCTTAGACCAACAGTCCGATATCCCATGCGTATCGATGTTAGTAAGCAACCAATATTTGGACACCTTTGGACCTTTGTAATCTCCTGTTCCCCCTTTACAGAAAAATCCGTGCTTCCATGCACATCTCGCAGGTCTCTGCCTTCGGGAGATTTGTGTCGGACGATAAGACCGGACTGGAGAGGAGCGCAATCACACCTGTCTGCACAGTCGCACAAAGTGTTTCCACATCTGCATGGCCAGCGGGGTATGACACGCAGTATTCACGACGTATGCTCGTGCCAGATTCTGATGCTCTGATGCTACTGGAGGGCAAGGAGAACTACGGCGTCTATCCGGACAGATAATTTTAAGTGGCGGGAGTAGTGACATAAAGAACGACTGTATATCCGCCTTCTGGCGCTGTGACGAAAGGACTGCCCGGCGGATCACTTCAGCTGACAGTCAGCCGAGGGCAGCGACAAGGCTCTGATCTACCATGGTACCACCTTTAACAACTGAGACAATGTCCACAATGAGGCCGACTGCTGCAAGCGGCCAGAAGACTTTCAGTGTCCCATCAACCAGGTGAGTGGAAAGACACGATATCTGCCCAAATTCTTAAACTAACAATATTCTACTCCACCTTCCCACAGCTTTGCATCGGCCGCCCTGCTCTGCGATGGCCGTGCCTCGGATATTTTCGCGCACCGAACCAAAAATCGAGCTTTAATGGCTCCATCGAAGAAATTAAGTAACTAGACTTAAGACCGCTAGACCGCTTAGAAATTAAAGACTTTAAAAATGCAATAGAGAACCTGCCGGCTATGCCATATGAGGTGCAACGCGACCAAGCTGCGGATGAAGATGGAGCGAAAGACTATGGATGAGTATGCCAGGCTACTACTACCATAATGCCTTCTACAAGGACCCAAGGTCCGAAGGCGACACCAGTTTAAGGTACGCGCTTGTCCCCAACGAACGAAGGACAAGTTGCCAAAAGCGGAAGAGGATGATTCGCCCGAAGAGTTTCAGCATGAATAGGCAAAGTAAGTATAAGTACCACCAATTGTATGACACATTTTTGGCTAATTCTCGACCATTGACAGATTGGGAAAGTTATTTTCTCCGGTAACCTTCTACGCCTTTGCAAAGTACGCGGACAAGGAAACAAAACCGAAACAAATAAGCACGGAAGAAGTTAAGCCTTCTACATATATTCCCTGAGGCAAATCCTGCTTTTATGGCGAAGTTGCTAGCATCTGGCTATCCCGTTAACGAAACAGCAGTCAAGTTTTTAGCGGAGTATGGTCGGAGAGGCATAGGGATCCGTGTACGTCGGACCAGATAGAGCTACGTCGGAGCTCAGTTAAAGGTTGAGCTGGCCAACGCTTTCAGCAATCTTGCGGGACCGGATTTATTTATTTATGGTAATAAACTCATTCCACACCACCCAAGAGGTCGAGTTTTTGGCGCGTTTATTTTTAAGTGGTATCTCCAATAGGCCTAATCCACTATATTTACTTTTAGGGCGGGGCATCGATCGTCGGGGTGTCTGAAAGTATGAAGTTATTAACAATAAATGTAATATTAATCGTCGAATTTGTACTTCGACAGGACCTAGGGCTTCCAGCCAACTTGCAAATTAAGTAAAACTTTGAAAAAGAGAGTCGCAACATAGCGACTGTTTTTTTTGTTGAACTATTTACAATAAATACAATAAAAGCAAGGATTAAAATTTATCCAATCTTGTAGAAAATTTATTCATCAATGGGATAAAATTATGTGGGCATGGCTAACTGTTCTATGTAGCTTATTATATTTGACGGAACATCAAAATTAAGCAATATGGTTTCAATGCTTGCCGGAGAACTATTAACCTATTATAAGCCAAGGGGGTAATCATTTTAGCGCAGTTCATATGAAAGATTCGTGGGGTTTGGCAAGTTAAAGGGAAGGATAGGATGGATCTATAAGAATGTACAATTGTTAATATTTTCCGCCATTTACCTTGAGTAGTTGAACTATTTAAATATAGGGGGCTTAAGTGGGCTAAGCTCGGGTTTCCATCATACGAGTCGCTATATTGTTGTTGAGCAACAAAAATTAAGGCAAAAACAATCAAGGGCCAAGTATTTAATGTGCCAGTCAAGTAGAAAATTGATTCATCAATCGTATAAAATTATGTGGGCATAGATAAAGGCCCGGTTGACAACATTTAAATCCTTGTCGCTCACATTCAAAAAAGTTCGATTTGGCGCGCACCACTCGGTATATTTTTCAAGTGAGACCGTATATACTGTAGAAACTGGTTTTCGCCGCGCTCCCATGTGGTGTTTTTTAGTGCTAAATGGTATTTTTGTCATCTATTAATTTAATTTTCAATTTTATATAAAAATCCAATAAATGCAAGTATTTCGAATAGACCAATCATGTATAAAATTGATTCATCAATCGTACAAAATTGAGTGGGCATGGCTAAATGTTCTATATAGATAGTATTATTCAACGGAACAAAGAATATGAGGAATTGGTCGTTTTTTTGAATCGAATTTGAATTCGCCGCAGTTCGCCGCAATTCGCTTTGGCAACAATGAGTCTCATTCCATACACAAATGTTGCGCATTCCATACACAAAAGTTGCGGCAACATTTACTTGAAAACCGTTTTTTGGTCAAAATAAAATACATAAAGGTAATTAAAAGAAGCAATCTTGTAGAAAATGCATTTATCTATGGAATAATGCTAAGTGGGCAAATCTATATAGCTTGAAATATAGGCAATACCCGATTCGCCGCAGATTCGCTATTGCAACAATGAGTCCCATTCCATACACAAATGTTGCGCATTCCATGCACAAATGTTGCTAACTCCATGCACACATACCCTGGGGCAAATGGATGTTATAGAATTGTGAATACGTTTGTCTTCCAAGGCTCAGTAGGTATCAGGATCGACATAAATATATACAAGATACTAATAATGTACATGAATATTTCTAAGGAATATCAATTTGAGAAAATTTCTTTATAAATCACGTTTCATCTTCATATAAAATTAACAAAATAGGGTATTCCAAGGCCTAAACGCATCACAGTGACTCTTTTTTTGTCGAACTTTTCCGTTCAAACCTCTTTTTACACAAAATCCAATAAAAGCAGGGATTAAAAACTATCCAATCGTGTAGAAAATTTATTCATCAATGGGATAAAATTATGTGGGCATGGCTAAATGTTCTATATAGCTAATAATATCCGACGGAATATCAAAATCGAGAAATATGTAAAACAGAACTTGAATTCGTCAGTATATTTACGGTATCTTTTTAAAATAAGACGGAATTTCTGAGGGCCGAATAAATCCACTGGTCACACTAATTTGATGCAGTCTTTCCCGCCAAATTCCACCAGCCCACGAATTTTGCATAAACAACACGGGATTGACCAACATAAACCTGCCGAAATGTCCGATTCACCCTGTAAGTAGCTCTGTTCACTCCGGAATCATGTATTAACGTACAATTTCCAATGCAGCTGGTCCACGTGTCAAGCGACAGCGAATTGACAAAAATGGTCGTTTTGCTGCTTTGGAGAAACTGCGTCAATTGAAGGGAACCAAAAACAAATGCCAAGTGGAGGAGGATGTGGACAATGTCTACGAGGTTGTGGATGAGCGGGAGTACGCCAAGAGGGCGCAGGAGAAGTACGGCGATGACTGGATAGAAGAGGGTAAACGCCAGCGATTTCCTGGTTGCACATGGGTTTAAATGAGTTCCTCTTGCAGATGGCACTGGCTATGCGGAAGATGGTCGCGACTTTTTCGAGGATGAAGACGAGTACTCCGATGAGGGCGAAGACAAAAAGGACACTAAGAACAAGAAGAAGAATCTGGCCAACAACAAGAAGAGGCCTCGGGAGAGTGAAAAGCCAGTCAAGGGCAAGGCCTCCATCAAGAATCTATTTAGCAATGCTGTTCCCAAGAAGACGGACGTGAAGAACAGTGTAAAAGATGATGATATCCTAGCCGATATCCTCGGCGAAATGAAGGAGGAGCCGGGAGTGTCCCCCAAAAAGGAGGAGAAGGTGATTGCTCCGGCCAAAATAGTGTTGGCCACACGCAAATCGGAGGCCGCCGCGGCCAAGGATTACATGAACAGCTTCCTCAACAATATCAAGATCCAGGAGCAGGAACGAAAGAAGGCCGAGGCCAGCAGCGACCATGAAATGTTGGAGCGCATCCTAAAGCCCAAAGCGGCACCCAACAAAAAGGTGGCGTCGGAGATGCCGCAGTCGTCTGCTGTGCAAGTAAAGAAGGAACCCCCGTCTGCCAAGAAAAATACGACCGCGACCCAGCCCGATGAAGCCACCGAGGATCCCTTTCCGGACAACGACATGGACTTCAGTTGCCTGGACGACGACGAGAATCAGTTCGAAGTGGAGAAACCCAAAGAGGCGATTCCCACGCCCGTCCCAACCAAGCCAGAGACCGCCTCCAGCTCGCCCCCAGAGGAGCCCGAAGATATAAGCAAACTTCTAAGCAACTGGGAGTCGATCTGCCAAATGGACGACGACTTTGAAAAGTCTGCGTTGGCCGGGGAGCAGGAGACGTCCATTTCTTCGGATGAGCAGCTGCGTTTCTGGTACTGGGAGGCCTGGGAGGATCCACAGAAATTGCCCGGCGAGGTCTTCCTCTTTGGTCGCACGGCGGATGGCAAGTCTGTGTGTGTGCGGGTACAAAACATCAATCGAGTGCTTTATCTGCTGCCCAGGCAACACGTAAGTCTTGCATTACACACCTCTAAGAGATATTGTATTAACCAAGTACCCTACAGCTCCTGGATCCTATCACCAAAGAGCCAACAAAGCAAAAGGTAACCGTGGCCGACATATACAAGGAGTTTGACAGCCACGTAGCCAACAATCTGAAGCTGGATACCTTCCGTTCGCGCAAGGTGAGCAAGAACTTCGCCAATCATGCCATTGGGATCGATGTCCCACAGACCTGCGACTACCTGGAGGTGCACTACGATGGCAAGAAGCCGGCACCGAATGTGGCCAACCAGAAATACGATTCCATAGCGCACATATTTGGTGCTGGCACAAATGCCTTGGAGCGATTTCTGCTAGAGCGCAAGATCAAGGGACCCGGCTGGCTGCAGATCAGCGGCTTTAAGATCCCACCAGCGCCCATGAGTTGGTGCAAAATGGAGGTGACTGTGTCGGAGCCAAAGAATGTGGAGCTGGTCCAGGATAAGGGCAAACCAGCTGCACCACCGCCACTTACGCTGCTGGCACTGAACGTGCGCACATCGATGAATCCCAAGACAATGAAGAACGAGATCTGCATGATCTCCATGCTGACCCACAATCGATTCCATATCGATAGGCCAGCGCCACAGCCCGCCTTCAACCGACACATGTGCGCCCTAACGCGACCGGCGGTGATTAATTGGCCCTTCGATTTGAACCTGGAGCTGGCCAAATACAAGTCCACAAAGATCCAGAAACACGATACCGAGCGGTCCCTACTTAGCTGGTTCCTGGCCCAATATCAGCAGATTGATGCCGATCTCGTGGTGACATTCGATGCCATGGATTGCCAGTTGAATGTGATAACCGATCAGATTGTGGCCCTGAAGATACCCCAGTGGTCGCGTATGGGTCGCTTGAGGCTCACCCAATCATTTGGCAAGCGTCTGCTCGATCACTTTGTGGGGCGCATGGTCTGCGATGTGAAGCGTTCGGCGGAGGAGTGCATCCGTGCCAGGTCCTATGATTTGCAGTCGCTCTGCCTGCAGGTTCTGAAGCTGCAGGAGTCGGAGCGCATGGAAGTGAATGCCGACGACCTGCTGGAGATGTACGAAAAGGGAGAGAACATCACGAAGCTCATCTCCCTGACCATGCAGGACACCTCTTACATGCTGCGGCTCATGTGCGAGCTGAATATCATGCCGCTGGCTCTGCAGATCACCAATATCTGCGGCAACACCATGACGCGCACTCTGCAGGGCGGTCGCTCCGAGCGGAACGAGTTTCTGCTGCTCCACGCCTTTCACGAGAAGAACTACATTGTGCCCGACAAGAAGCCGCAGCGTGGACGGGGCGCCGCCGATCCCGATGGCACCTTTGGCGGGGATGCTACAGCGCTCCCGGTGCGCAAGAAGGCCGCGTATGCCGGCGGTTTGGTGCTGGAACCCATGCGTGGGCTGTACGAGAAGTTTGTCCTCCTGATGGACTTCAATTCGCTGTATCCCAGCATCATCCAGGAGTACAACATCTGTTTCACCACCGTCCAGCAACCGGTGGACGCCGATGAGCTGCCCACGCTGCCCGACACAAAGACGGAGGCTGGCATCTTGCCGCTGCAGCTAAAACGTTTGGTGGAATCGCGCCGAGAGGTCAAGAAACTGATGGCTGCACCGGATCTCTCGCCGGAGCTGCAGATGCAGTACCACATTCGACAAATGGCCCTCAAGCTGACGGCCAATTCCATGTACGGATGCCTGGGCTTTGCCCATTCGCGTTTCTTTGCCCAACATCTGGCCGCCCTGGTCACGCACAAGGGCAGGGAGATCCTCACGAACACCCAGCAGCTGGTGCAGAAGCTGAACTATGATGTGGTCTATGGCGACACGGATTCGCTGATGATCAACACAAACATTACGGACTACGATCAGGTGTACAAGATCGGGCACAGCATCAAGCAGAGTGTGAACAAGTTGTACAAACAGCTGGAGCTGGACATTGACGGTGTCTTCTCTTGTCTCCTGCTGCTCAAAAAGAAGAAATACGCCGCCGTCAAGGTGAGCAAGACCGCGAAGGGTGTCCTAAAGCGTGAACAGGAGCACAAGGGTCTCGATATTGTGCGTCGCGATTGGTCCCAGCTGGCCGTCATGGTGGGCAAGGCCGTGCTAGACGAGGTCCTGGCCGAGAAGCAGCTGGAGGAAAAACTGGATGCTGTCCATGCCCAGCTGGAGCGGATCAAGGATCAGATAGCCCAGTCGGCTGTCCCACTGCCACTCTTTGTAATTACCAAACAACTGACGCGCGCTCCCCAGGAGTACGCGAACAGCGGCTCCCTGCCACATGTCCAGGTAGCTTTGCGCATGAATCGCGAACGGAATCGTCGCTACAAGAAGGGCGACATGGTGGACTATGTGATCTGTGTGGATGGCACCACAAATGCGGCCATGCAGCGGGCCTATCATCTGGATGAGCTCAAGGGCAGCGAGACTCTGAAGCTGGACACCGACTACTATTTGGGCCATCAGATCCATCCGGTGGTGACGCGCATGGTGGAGGTGCTGGAGGGCACCGATGCCAGCCGGATTGCCGAATGCCTCGGCATGGATCCCACTAAGTTCCGACAGAATGCTCAGCGGTAAGTCGGTCCCAGACAATTCCTCGAAATAAATCGATTTCTAAGTGTGTGATTCTTTGCAGGGCCCAGCGGGAGATCAACGAACAGGCGGAGGGCGAATCCCTGCTGAAGACCACCCTCCAGCTGTATCGGCTGTGTGAGCCCTTCCGCTTCAATTGTGTGACCTGCAAGACCGAGCAACTGATGGCCAGCGCCTACCGACCCGGAGTCAATCATTCGCATGTTCCCGTACTGCAGCAATGCTCAAAGGCCGAATGCCAGACAGCCCCGCTGCAGTACCTTGTGAGCATACGGAACCAATTGCAGCTGGCCATCAGGCGATATGTGCAGAGATTCTACAAGAATTGGCTGGTCTGCGACCATCCAGACTGCAACTACAACACGCGCACCCACACTCTGAAGAAGGACATGCGACGACCGCTATGCTACAAGTGCAAGAGCGGCAGCTTGTTGAGGCAGTACACGGAGCGGGATCTGTACAATCAGCTTTGCTATCTGCGGTTCCTCTTTGACCTCAACAAGCAGCAGCTTCAACAAAAACGTAAGCTGTCGTCCTCTATCCAAAAACTCAAATCTTATGCTAGAATCCTTTGTTTTTTAGCTACCATGACGCCAGAGCTGGAGCAGGGCTATCAAATGCTCTACGAGACTGTGGATCAGCACTTGCAGAGCTCGTCGTATGTGGTCATCTCGCTGCGGAAGCTCTTTGGTCGAACTCTGACTCTGATGTCCCTTCAACCGCCACGGCCGCGACCCCACAACGAACTGATCGCCAGCACTTTGGCAGATGTTTAAACATTTAATTAACTAGCCTTGCTCTAAGGGTTTCCATTAAATATTACGAGTATGTATAAAACTAGATCAGGTTGCACTCAGGAAACTCTCGAGGGGAAAGTAACGAAAGGATTCGTTGAAGATGTCCGTGAAGGCAGTGCTCACCAGCTCATTGATCATGGGCTTGACAAAAGGCAGCCCCAGCTGCCACATGCTGTTGATGACCCCATCGGCCAGAGAGTTGAGAGGGTGCTTAAGAAGGTCCCCAATGTGCAGTTCCATGCCGCCAATGCGATCGACTTCCACATGGATTTTGAGAAGAGAGCCCGGTCCGCCCACGCGTACTACACTGGTGGTCTGACTGGAAAATAAAATGGACGATATGAATTTGTAAAGTTAGGGAATGGTTGAGCACATGCTCACCTGTAATCATAGAGAGTTAGATTCCAGGGACCGCGACGCTTGATCTCTGTGCCCAGCAGCTTGCCGGAGAACTCGTACTGACCCTCCAGGCTTTTGTCGGGGAAATATTGCGCATAGACAATGCGCTGATCTTCGGCATCCGCATGGAACTTGGTCACCTCGGACTTGGACCAGCCGTACTCGGAAACATTGCGCAAAACGAGGCGAAAGCTGCCGATGCCATGGACCCCGTCGCCTCGCCGCAGTTCCACATAGTCAGAATGATGGGGATCAAAGGGTTTTATGTGATAATCGGGTATGCCTGAAATCACACGCGTGGATTACTCAATGCTTGCTCAACTGTGCTGCCGCTATCGCTCTCACCTGTTGTGAAGTACGCCCGCAGATCGTTAAAAACCTGCTTCATGCAATCATTGTACTCCTCACCCTGGCTGTGGCAGTGTCCCAGCAAGTGCCGCAGATCTGATTCCACGTCAATTTGGTTCGAGGCATGCACCAACACAACATTCACCAGCTGAACCACAAAAATCACCGCCAAAAGTCGGCTCGCACAGCTGTTACAGTTTGATGACCAGTGTTGCGACATGACTACAGTTTGAGTGCCTGCTGTTAATGGGAAAAACAAACCCAATGTTAAAACTCTTGTTGTTTTTAGTAGTAATTTGTTACTGCTATTGATGTTGTCTTCAATGTCGGAGATGTTTAACTTGTCGTTTGTTTTGTGAAGATTTTTGTCCAAATTGCCCTTGATTTTGGTGTTTACAGTTTAGTGGGATTTTTTGTATATGCGAAAACTCCACAGTTTTAGATTGAGTGTGTTGAGCAACAGTTAGGAATGTACTTGGAGAATTGGTAAATTTTTTGTGCCTCTTATCAGCAGAAGACTTGCCCACAATTTTTTGAGAAAAGTGAATAGTTTTTATTGCATTGCCTGAAGTCCGTAAACCTGTAGTTTAGATCTGTTAGTATTTTGATTAACGAAAGATTTTAAAAATTTGTGGAGAGTCCATCTTGTGGTTGTAGCTTTATCTAATCGATACCAAACTTTATTAATTTTAGAGACATATTTGACTAAATATGTATCAATGATATTTAGAAATTTTGCTCTTAATATCATTTTTCTATAGTTAATTATTGCTTGGTTTTATATACATTTTGTCCATTCATCAAGGAACCATTACTCTAACTATACAAAAACCCGTAGTTTGCAGCATCTCTAATACTTCCCACGTGCAGGCCCATATCTGCTTCAATAGTTTTCAGTGTTTCTTATTTTTTTCAGGGTTTTGTAATGTTTTTTTTGTGTGCGGCCTGCACTTGACCTCTTTAATTTTAAACGGCCAGATTATTGCTTGTCGACAACAGAAAAAACCTAATAAGCAAACAATTGTAAACCAAAGACTTCAACGAGACACAAAACTGGCGATTTTTGGGGTGTCTTTTTCTACTCCCAGTTTAGGCCCAGACATTCACTCATGCAACACGAAAGTGGCAGTGGCAGCAGCAGCAGCAGCAACAGCAATATATGATAACATTTGGCAACTTTTTAGTGTTTAGCGGCTGCAATTGCAATATCACTTGACCAACGGTCAGCCATGCAACGAACAAGTTGGTTAAGCAATTTATTACTATTTTTGAGTCAATTTTCGGATAAGTACACTTAACACTCTCTATTATATTTTTTGGAACTTTTAAACTGCTATGAGAATTCTGGGTCGAGCCCAGAACCAACTCCTTTCGTATGCAGACAGCGCACGAATTTTCCAAAAATCGTAAGTATGGGGATATTTACAGTTAAGTGAACCGAATTCCGAGACGTCTGAATCATGCGAGGTACCGTGGCCAACTGAAGCTCCAAACCGAACCCGAAACTGAAACCGAGGCCCAGCTCTAGCTCCAGCTCCAGCTCCAGTCAAAGCCCCCCAGAAAGCTTACACCAAAAAAAACCAGACAGAGAAATCACAGACAGGAAAAATGTTTGAAAGACGAGAGCAAACTTGAGCTTTGTCAACTTGATTTTTTTACTTTGAAAATGCGTTTCCTTATTATTGTCTTTACCCCACCCACAAGCAAAAATGTCGTGGAAGAAAACCAAAACTGTCGTAAATCATTGGCCAAAAATAGTCAAAAATATATTTAGAAACAATTAGGAATGAATGGGGATAGAGTGGTTCGACTAGAAGTTACCCCAGAATACAGCGGACACAAAAGGCGAAAATAAATAGAAGAAATGGAGGCCACAAATTGATAAGCATTTTGATAAGCATTCAATCCTTAGGAATGCTGCTATATCGGTTGGATAGTATACATAAACCTTATATATCTTATATATATCTTACTCTTTGTGTGAGTTTTTTACTGTAAAAATAAACGTTTCAGTTCATTTCATCGAAGTATCAGTATCTAAACTTTGCTAACTCTAAATCGAATATTTCTTCAGAAAAAATTTCACCCGATATCGTAGTCCCTTCCGTTTTGTAGATCGCATTATTCCTGATTATGGTCTTATGCTCGGATTATAAATCCATTTACCATATTATATCTACTACTAACTCCATTTCTCTTCTTAAATTACAAATTACAACATACCTTTCACGTATATAGAAATGTATTTTGTATTTAGTTCTTAGTTATTTTAGTAAGTTTTGCTCCAATTTTCCTCGAATATTAGTCTAAAATCTATCTTTCCTGCTTGTCGCGATCGGTTCGGTAATAAGAGTCGCAAATGGTAAATTAAATTGGGTTAAAAAATGTAAAAAAGATTGTTAGACAAGCAAAAGGCAGGGACATGAATACCTATAAGACATGGCTAAATCATCTTAGCTCTTAACAGACCCCGTATATACACCCAGCCAGATTTCCACAAACCCCACACAATCAGCCAAAAAGTGAGCTGAATTTAATTAGGCAAGCCCAAATGTCCGGCAATGGTTATTTAAGGTATATTCAAAGCAAATCATGTACCCACAACCAGCACTCAAGTTCAAGCTATTGAATAATTTAAATTTCATGACTTAATTTGCTTGCGTGCTTTGGAGTTTGCTGGCTGGAAGTGTATCAATAAAGAGACTCGCAAAATCTGACTCCAATGAGTGAAAGATCCATTTATGATGAGCGCTTTTTGCCAAATGGATCTGCAAGGTTACAGCTTCTTGGCTGATTGCATTTTAATGAAGGGCCAATCCCGAATTTACAACAATTCCAGCATTCAGCAGGGCTGGGCTGAAGGAAATGTACTAATTGGAGCAGAAGCACATACATTTTTGTTTCGAAGAGAGATTTATTTATTAGTATTTGTAAAAAAAAGAAGCCCTATACTTTTGAGGATAGTGCAGTCAATGAAATGGTATGATATTTTCGGCATTTCTCCACCATATGGAATTTTTCAGGGAGAGCGATCTATGTATATACGATAAGCTTTGCTATCTACGATTCCAACAAGCAGCAGCCTCAATAGAAACTTAAGCTACGAGTACAAAAATATATAAAGTCCAATGGACACTGTCATCATCATCATGTTTGCCCCTAAGACCCAGCAGTTTGCCAGATGCTTAAAGATTTATTTAACTAGCCTTGCTCTAGTGCTTTTCATTAAGTATTACGAGTAGATATTTATAAAACTAGATCAGGTTGCACTGAAGAACTTCTCGAGGGGAAAGAAACGAAAGGATTCGTTGAAGATCTCCGTGAAGGCCGTGCTCACCAGCTCATTGATCATGGGCTTGACAAAGTGCAGACCCACCTGCCACATGCTGTTAAAGATGGTGTCGGCCATCCAGTTTACAGACGGCCCAACGAGATTCGTAGCGTGAATTTTCAGGTCTCCAATGCGATCGATTTCCACAAGGACCTTCAGAAGAGAACCAGGCCCGCCAGCGCGTGTGATAGTGGTGGTTTGACTGGGAAATGCAAAGAAAAGGATTGCAAATTTAAATGTTGGGGAGTACCTAATCCTTATCCAAGCCTCACCTGTAATCACTGAGAGTGAGATTCCAGGAACCGCGTCGCTTAATCTCTGTGCCCACCACCGAGGAGTTGAACTCATACAGACCCTCCAAGCTTAGGTCACTGAAATATTGCGAAAAGACAATGCTCTGATCTTCGAATTTCGCTTCGAACTTGGTCACCTTAGATTTCGACCAACCGTACTCGGAAACATTACGCAAAATGAGGTCATAGCTGCCGAGGCCATGGGCGATGCCGGCGACTCCTCGCCGCAGTTCCACATAGTCCGAATGCTGGGGTTCAAAGGGCTTTATGTGATAGATGGGTATGCCTGAAAGTCACACAGGCGGGTTACGGTGTTACATCAACTCTCTTGCTCACTCCTCACCTGTTTTGAAGTACAAACGCATATCGTTTAAAGCCTGCTGCATGCAATCGTTGAAGTCTCTGCTCTGCATATGGCAGCTTCCCAGCAAACGTTGTAGATCTGATTCCACATCGATTTGGTTGACGGCATGCACCTCACTTAGCAGATGGACTACAAAAATCACCGTCAAAAGGCGGCTCGCACAGCTGTTACAGTTTGAGGACCAGTGTGTCGACATGACTACAGTTTGAGTGCCTGCTGTTAATGGGAACAACAAACCCAATGCTAAATCTCTTATAGTTATTACAGCTAGTAGTACTTTGTTTATTGTTACTGTTATTGTGTTCAATGTCAAAGATGTAATTTTTCCTTCAAATTTTGGTTTTCTTTTTGATGGGAATTTTCTTGATGTTAGTTGAAGTATTTAATTTTTGTTGGTCAGTATCTAACGTAATGAAACTGTTTTTTTTAGCTTACAAAATTCAGCTCAATTACTTATAGGTTTTAAATTTTGTTTCATATTAAATAAACATTGTAAATTTTGTGCACTATTTGATCGAATAATATTTAACTTGAATAATATTTTGTTTTATTTATTATCTACTAGCGTCATTGTTTTTACTTTCTACAAAATTTTTTGGGGAGCATTACACCAAATATGAAATGAAATTCTGGGTCGAGCACAGAACCAACTCCTTTAGTATGCAAAAGGCGCACGAATATTCAAATAATATTTTTTTTATTTGTACAGTTATTTGAGCCGAATTCGCGACGTGTGAATCATTCGAATAGCCTTCGCGAACTGAGCTACCAACCCAGCACTGGCTTTTGTATCGTTTAGATTTAATCAAGTTGATCTTTAATGGAATACGAGTCTGGATAACACCTACAGGCATGGAAGACGAATCTATTATAAAGACTTTTTCTCCCAGCTCTCCCCTATTCAAGCTCTACATACTCCAAACCCCTCTTACCTAACAGTCCATGCAATAAAGTCCCTTGTTCTCCCTCTATTAACTGAATCTAATTAGACCATCCCAAATGTCCGGCTATGGCTGTTTGAAATATCAATTAATGTACTGAACCTACAGAAAGCACTCGAGCACATGCTATTGAATAATTTAAATTTTTGGAGCGTGCATTGGCATTTTTTAGCGGGAAGAGTATTCATTGACAGACCCATTAAGTGTGATGCTAATGAGAAGAGAGACAATGAAAGATAAGATTATGGTGTTTTTGCCAAATGGATCTGCAAGGTTACAGCTTCTTGCAATTTAATGAAGGAAGGACAAGGCCGAAGCTTACACCAATTCCAGCCAGGGATTCAGGCAAACAAGATTAAAATAAGACGGATTTTCAATTTTTTTTTCAAATATACAGTATCCGTTGATCATCCCTATATTTGGTTCTAAGGTCGATTTTGGGCAACAATTAGTATTATAGTTTTTTACAAGAATTCGCACGGTCATTCGCGGTCATTCGCGGTCATTCGCGGCGATCAATTCAAACTCAGACTTCAGCAAAAGTTGGGGCACTATATTGATGCGAGTTTCTGATAAAAGCTGGGTATTGATGTACTTTTAAAATGGTTATATTTTTTTACGCAAATTTGATTGGTATTTTTTTTTTAATTTAATTTAAGCCTCTGTCGCAATGGACAGACATTTCTTGGCTTGATAAACGTTATAAAATATTCCGTTAACCGATATTGGGCGAATTTTCAGAATGTTAGAGGGATTTTGAGGGAAACCTTTTATGAAGGATAATATTTATTATTGATTATGAAAATAGGAAAGGAAAAGTGACTATGGAACGAAAAAAAAAATTAGCTCTTCTTATTTAAATTTTTTTAGATCAAAATTAATGAAATTATATGTAAATTTCCAACTGTTTCCCACATTTCCCACACAAACGTTCTTCCACCATATTATTTTTCCTATTTATCGTATTTTTGTTATTCTTTTTATTAGCTTCAGAAATACCCACAATAGACAGCAACAGGTGGCATCTATCGATAGTGAAAAGTTCCATCAATAGTAAGAAAACATATGGGGTAACGATATTACTATCGATGGCAGTGCATCTCTACTATTAGTCATTTGTTATTGTTATTTTAGCCTGTCCTGGCCCCCCACATGCCACACTCGTCGTCGCCCTGGTGTAAACTAATATTAATAAGACAAATATGGAAGTAGAATTCAGCAAAGAGGACTTTCTGCTGCCAGAAACAAAGTATGAATGTGAGTAAATACCCTAAATTGCAGACAGAGCCGCCTGTTGCTTACCATTTACATTCATTTGATTCATTCGCAGATTTGGACCACACCGCCGACGTGCAGTGAGTAATAGCAACAACAACAACAGCACCCGTGGTGTAGGAGTATTATTAACCACATGGTTGGCTTCCGATTTGCAGACTCCATGCCTGGGGCACCACACTGACGGAGGCCTTCGAGCAGTGCGGCGTAGCAATGTTCGGGTATATGACGGAACTGGAGTACGTGTCCGTGGAGAGCTGCTACGAGATCGAGGCCAAGGGCGATGACCTGGAGGGACTACTCTTTCACTTTCTCGACGAGCTGCTATTCCTGTTCTCCGTTGAACCGAATCTCGTGTGCAAAAAACTGGAAATCACCAAATTCGATCTGGATACCTTCGAGATTGTCTGCCGCTGCTACGGCGAACCCTTCGAGCTGGGCAAACATCCGCAGGGCACCGAGGTGAAGGCAATCACCTACTCGGCCATGCAAATCGTACAGGATGCGGAGCAGAGCAACTTTGAAGTGTTTGTTATAATTGATATTTGAGGAGAGACGACTGGCTGGCAGCGGATCCCCGATCCAGAGTGATTTTACCTTTAGGTATATTAAATGAATTTTGACATCATGACTGCCCGTTTCCACCCCTTTTTCTTGCTGGTATGTCGATTGCATTTACTCCTTGTTTCCATTAATCATAAGTGAAATGCCAAAAACAAAAAACCAAACATTAAAAAAAGCTGCACAAGCCCCGAAATATCTGCAATCACTCCGGCGACTGCATGCATCCCCTGTCTGCGGTGAGGAGACGGTCTGAAGACGTGTGAGGAGGATGATGACTTATCAAAAAACCATTCAATTGTACCGCTGCTGCTGCAAATGCAATTAATACTTTTGGTCCTTGCACTCAGCGTCTGGGAGTTTCTTACCCTTTTTTTTCGTATTTTTTAGGCTTTGTGAATTTGCAACGTGTTGGTTTCCCAGACATGGAAACCGAATTTCCAGGCCACAGTTCAATGCACTTTCCTGCAGATGCAGCCTTCAAGTATTGCCTTACAGTAGTTCAATGATAGATTTTGTTTAAAAAAAACAGGTGGTACTTTAGGCCTAATTCGCTGTGAAACAGTCTTCCAATTGAAAACATTCAATTGTAAAATAACATTTTTAATTCTAATTTCTAGTCAGAAAAGATTTATTTCTTGGGGTATTTGGCACTTCTCGTTCCTCAAACATTTATGAAAATGTTGTAAATATTTAAATTCTCCGCACAGATGTCCAATCGATAGTATTGTATCGCACTCGATACAGATTCATATGTTTTCCCACCTCTACATTACGTGAAGCTGGAGAACAGCTGATTCGCCGACGACAACAACAACAGCAACAGCTGCGATAAACAACAACAAAAAATGCTTGCCCGGTCTGTTATGCGTGCAATAGTGTTTGTTTAAGAGGTTTCCTTGAAATATCTCTCGTTTGTGTGTGGGAACGTGGGGGCGAAACAAGGCGAAGTATTCGGAATAGTAGTAGCTAGTATTTTTGCGACTGATTGAAAAAATCAACACTGCGACAGGCCCAGCGATACACGAAAGCGTGTGTAAAAGAACAAACAAAGTATGAAAGGCAAATCGAGCAATAAAACGCACACCACCGCAGCACACATTCAAACACACAGCAGCAGCAAGTTGTTCGTTTCGCTCATGGTCTTGAATCGCGTCGAAATCGAAGTCGCGAGTGGCACACTGAAAAGTATCTAGCATTGCTTCAAACAATTTGCAATACAAAATAACGACTAATAGTAATAGTAAGTGCGGGATGGTGAGGAAGTAAAGTTAAATAAAAAAAGAGCTGGTGGAAAGGTGGCAGCCAACAAAAACGTCATCACCGCTGCGCGCCGCATTGTTGCTTTTTCAATTCGCCGTTCTGCGCTCACCTCGTCTGCCTGGTCGGTCTCTCGCTCGCTCTCTCTTTCTCCCCAAGTCTGTAGCCCTCATGCTCATTCGTTCTTTCTGCAGCCAGCCGCTGTCGTCGTCGCCATCAAATTGTCATGGTGTTCGAAGAGGAAGAAGCACAAGAGCACATTGGCTGGGCTACGAATTTCGAGTGCCTCCTAAGCTAGGAAATCTTTGAATAACCCACATCGAAACCAGCTCAATCGAAAGGTAATTTTATTATCTACAATTTGCGATCAAAGGCACCCCTCTGGCCCAACTGGAAGTGTGTGAAAAACGTGGCGGAAAAATCCATACGAAGACGAAATGGAAAAAATGTGGTAGGTAGTATTCTAGATGTTAGAGGTGTGCGTGTGTGAAACTGTGTGTGTGTGTCATGGGGGTGCTGCGCTGGGCATTGGTTCTCTATGAAGGAGCAGGGCAGGGCAAACCAACTGTTTTTTCCGTCAGCCAGGAGAGCGCTCCTACTGTGTGGGTGGTGTGCCGCTGCCGCCTGCCGCCTGCCGGCTAAAAGTCCATGCCGGGACAGGCGGCTACCAGCTGACGCGCCAGCTGCCCGCCCGCTGATGGTGTGGGTGGATCGGCATGTGTGTGTGTGGGGGAAGTGTGCAGTTTTATATAATTGAAGTGAATTTGAAGTGAAACCCCCCAACTCGTAATTTGGCTGTGAGTCGAATCAATTCATAAGATTTTAGCAGCTGACGTCACTGCCATTTCGGTTTGATTTATCTGCCAACATAAAGTCAAGTTTTATGTGTTCGTGTGTGTAATACATGTTTAATTGCAATGCCGACACAGTCCATAGAGCGGGGGCCCTTGGGGAGTTAAAATCTCTGATTAGTTTTTAATTTGCAAGTGCTTAAAGCGTTGCCAGACTGGTCCTGAGGGATGCTGCATGCTCTGCTGCTGATGTGGGAGAAACCTGTGACTTTCGCATGTGATTTAGATAATACAAATAGTACAGGGGCAAGCAGTATCTGAGAAGCTGTAGATATGCAGTCGGCAAGCAGTAGAGTCCGTTTAGAAACTGTATAAGAAATAACACCACTAGGGACTTTCTCCAAGTGAATTATTTATAAAGATTTATTGCATGTTTTGCCAAATAAAATCAGGCGCATGACTAGGTGCATGTGGCCTTATCAGTGTATTAATTAACCCAGATATGATGAGAACACGGAACTTGTTTCGAAATGATAAGGTCGTGGCTCCACTCTTCCCAAGGAGATATAGAACGACTAGAGCGATAGGGAAGGAAATGGGAATGCAATCCTCGTCTCTGAAGTCCGATTTTTGGGGACGTCATAGTTTGATGACCTCCCCACAAACACATCCAAACAGAATTATGCATGTGTATACTGAAGCTCCCCAAACCGTGGGGCAATGGCGGCCATCGAAGACGACGGCGACGCTGTCTCATGGCGTTTTTTTTTTCTTTTCTCCATGATATTTCTCGAGTCTGCACTTTTTGTTTTTGTATTTGGTTACTTTGATTTTATGCTTGGCCTTCGGGGCAAGTCTCTTGGCCATCGTCGACGTAGTCGTGGTCGTGGTCGGGTCTTTTGTGAACCAGTTCCTCCTAAGCGCCTCTTTTTACCTGTTCCCCTGCTTGGGGTACACACATGATATTTTTGATTTTTGCGCCTGCTTTGGTCAGTAATCCTATATATTCCATTACGGAAGCAGTGATTTGGACATTTCATTTTGTTTTCTCTTCCCGGCTTATGGAGGTGTCGCTCTGATTGTCGATTTTCATTCATTCATCCGATTGGAGGCCAACGAATTCCAAGTGGAACAGTGATTTCTTCCCGCCTAGTCACTGTCTCGTATTGAATTGTGACTGAATATATTGATTGTGTCTGTCGTGTGTGGGTCTATGTTTGCTTTTATCTGCTGTCGCGATAAGGCCTGGAACCTTAGAGACACCATTTGTGAAATTGAGGTCACACTTACTCGAGTTCCACTAACAATAATTGTTAATGGAGTAGAAAACTTTAATATTATGCGAGTTCAGAGATCATACGGCTCTCTGACTTGTTTCTTGTTGTTTTTAGCAACAGCTAATCGTCCTTAGGTCCAGCTTGGCTCATTTATTGCAATGAGAAACTGATAAGCTGAAACAGAAGACTATAAAACAATCAAAGGATTTCTGTAGTCTGGCAGCCCCCGCCTAAGCGAAGCTGAAGCTCGCTCCACAATCTCCGAAACACTCAACAAAATTTGGCGCACTTGCTCCAAGCAATATACAATACATATGTGTATGTATTTATATACACACATTTTGTTTTGGACAGGCTAATACTTTTGATAATATATTAAATACTTGAATTTCATTTATTATTGTTAAAGCCGCCCGGCCGCTTTGGGTCATCGTTTTTTGGGCGCTGTCCGATCCGATCATCGGATCGTGTTTGTTTTTATCATGTGCCCGAGTGAGGTGTGTGCATGTGTGTGTAATAATATTGTTGTTGCACTTTTATAACATACCACGAGAGCGGCCACGGCAGCACATGAGAAGGCATGAGGAGGCATGTCGTATCCACACTCGTACACACAATTTACACGGTATACACACACACACACACACACATCTGTATACTTGAGCGAAACGAGTTAAAAGCGATTTCATTAATATGTTTTGTTGTTCTTGTTGATGTTGCTGATGTGTCCGTCCGTTTCTGTCGCTGTGTCTTTTGTTGTTCCCGTCGCTCGTTTTGCTTTGACCTTGCCTTTCGGATACATACCCTTTTTTGCGGTAATTAGAGTGGGAAATTGTTGGTGTGCATAAGGATCGGTGGGGGACTGGGAGGGTCACCAAGGATCAAGGTAATTCATGGGGAAATTTTTCATTAGCATACCTAATTAGAGGTCGGACTATAAAACCTCTTCAGGAACTCTGTAGAAAATGTGTTGGAGAATTTGTGGCCGTGTAGTGTAATAAATATTAAATGGGGCCAGCAAGGATCACCATATACCTCACGAAAAGCGAATAAAAACTCTCCTAGATTCCCTGTGATTGGAAAGCATTCTAGAGCATCGGCATGTCTATAAGCCCTCTTTGGGAATTCCAGAGCTTATGGCAAAAGATTATGGGATGTTAAAATTTGTATAACTTCGCATGCACTCCGTCCAGTATGCCCTACTTCTCTCTGGCCTATCTCTCATTATTATAATCTGATTTAATCCTTTAAGCGAAAGCTCATAAAGAGTATTATGCGTAGTGGTGGTGGCATCCATCCCCCTTTTGTCGCTCAACTGGCTAGTTGTTGTTAAATTCCTTCTTTTCTTTTTTTTTTTGTTTGCCCGTTGGCTGGTTTCTGTTGGGCTTTTGGCTCTTTTTTTCTCTTGGCTATTTTTAAATATTTGCGCGAAAGCAACAAAAAAAAGTTATAATAAGAGAGAGAAAGAGAGGAGAAGGAAAAAGAAAAGACGTAGCGAAGCCGGCGCAGTGGCATTCTGTTGCTGCATGAAAAAAATGTGGAATATGGAATTTCTCCCTCTCTCTCTCTATCACACACATACTCGCACAGAGGCAATCCGATTCGCGACTTTTGTTGCTGTTTGTGCGTGCAAATTGGAGCAAAAGGAAGAAATGAAAAAACAGCAGTGCCAGCAGCAGCAGCCACGACAGCGACAGCAACAAAGTAAAAGTTTAGCCAACGTCAGCCAGCGCTGACGGCTC